TACCAGACCCGCTAAAACAGGAGATATTATGGTCAGAGTGAAGCCTGCCTGAACGCGAGGGCTCGCCTGATTTGACGAGCCCACCAGCATTGGGAAGGCTGCTCCTTCGTCTTGCACTTTTCAGACCCAAATAATAATTCAGGCCGTCATATGAGGCGAAGGTTTGGGTCTCTTGTTGGGCGAGGATCTGTCTTCGTCACTGCTGGCGGGCTCTTCTAGAGAGAGGAGCGTCCGTGCGGACCATGACGGTGTAGTCTACGCTAAGGTGAACCACCATCTCTTCCTGAGCAGAGGCCTACAAGGGTTTTTTGGCGATCCATCTGGTAGCCTTTTGCCCTGTGCTCTTGACCTCTGGCTTGGCCTCGATCAATTTGGAGGGAATAGGCTCCCCTGGCGTGACTCAGATAGAGTCCTCGGACGTGGAGGCTTTGACCGTTTGAGGTCGGCCTCTATGCACAATTCTTTGGTGTTTGCGGGACGCATTGCCACCAGAGGAGGAGGAAGACAAGTACTCTTCGTACTTGGCTTGGTCGAACTCGATTTCTAGGGACTCCACGCTCGTCCCGACAGCAACCTCGTCGAACTGTGCTACCACCATTTCAGTTGAGGAAATAGTTTCTCCCACTGCGGTCGCCATCTTTTATAGGTGTAAATTTTGATTTCCCGAAATGGGGGTTTCATTTGTATTGATAAGAATAGCTTATTATAAACTAATGAATCAAAATTACAACAGAAATGAAGGGAATGCCCTCCTTGTTTATCGTGGGGACTTTGGTAGCGATAGGACGCCTCGCTCGGTTCTCGCACCGAGTCTGCTTCCCTTGGACGATTCGATCTAGGTTGCTGGTGAGCTTCAGTATGTAGTAGAAGCTCGTGCTGGTCGAGTTCGAGTCTCCGAGTTTAGTGGCGGTCAGGGCCCGAAGCTGGGAGAAGGTGCTACAGTGCAATGATCATGCAAAGAGCCTGTCGTTAACTCAGTCGAGAGTTAAGAGCTAATGGTCCAGCTAACTGATTGAATTAATCAATTAACTACGAACCTTTTTCCTGTGGCTAGGGGAGGCTCTTAAATAGAGGAGAGATGACGTGATTGCTTCCTTGAATCATGGGATGTGACCATGTACTGTTGGGAGATACCATGCTTCTCACTTGTACCATGAGCGGCCGCGTGATGGGCTCGGAGCACTGTACTTCTCCCCTTCACGTCGCAGAAAACAAGAAGGCCCATCCCTGTACGTGATATTATGACTGCCAAGTACTTTGGTGAGTTTGGCCAGTTCGTCTATCGCGAGCAAATTCAGCTCTTGACTCGTGCAGGCGAGTTGAGTAAGCAGGCGAATTTCAGTCACTTGGATGATCTTGACTCATGCGAGCGAGTCAAACATGCAGGTGAGTTTGGCAATTGCATGGATTTGACTGGTCATTCGTACTGTGGACGGCTGCTTGATGGACTCGGAGTACTATGCTCCTTTCCTTCACGTCGTGGGAAATAGGAAGGCCCATCCCTAGACGTGATATTGCGGTTGCTAAGTACCCTGGCGAGTCTGTGGTTAGAATGTTGATCGCCTAGCTGATCGTTCGGGCATGCAGGCGAGTTCGGCTCTTGAGTAAACTTAACTTGTGCGGGCGAGTCAAATGTGCAGGCGAGTTTCTGATCGCCTGGTGGATCGCCAGCTGCGTGGGCAAATTTGGTGATTGTGTGGTCTTGGCTCGTGCTAGCAAGTCAAACACACGGGTGAGCCTAGTTTCCACGTTGCGCGGGCGACTCGGATACGCAGGCGGATTTCAAGTTTATCTGCAAAGGTAATTTTTACAGCCTATAAACGCCAAAGGAAATAATACGCCATCTGCGTCAATTCTGGTTGCAACAAGCAATACGCCTTTATACTTGCCGTACAAGTGGGTGCCATTAATTCTAAGAAGGGAATGACAATATCTGAAACCTTCAATACAAGGCCCAAATACCCAAAATACACCTGTGAACCGTCGTTCTCCGCCATCAACAGGGTCTGATGATACTTCATAGACTATCCCTGGATTCTCTTTTGAGTGCTTCGAGATAATATGGTAAGATCTCATAAGATTTATCCCAATCCTCAAATATTTTTATCATCGTCTTCCTCCTAGCATTCCAACACTTGTTGTATGATACATCCAAGTTAATCGCTTTATGTACTAAAAGACGAATATCACTTGGCCTTAGATCAAGATCCTCCCTTAGATTAGGCATAATCAATCGATATATGAAAGAAGCCAACGGATGTTTATGATTCATTTCTAACCGAAGATTGCTACATGTGTGGAGTCCGCTGTAATGTGTGAATTTAAATTTCCTACCTACTCTTACACTCAAGCGTGAATTAAGCTTCCAATAACATTTCGCATTGCCGTCATGGTGCCCACCACTATCTTCTTCTTCGCCATCTTCGTGGTAAAAAAACCACATTATAGCTTGTTGCATTGTTTTTGGTTGGTCTAAACTTGCTATTTTTTGGATGATCCACAAACGAAGCACATGAATCAATTTCTCCTTGCTTTCAAATAGATCTCCCTTTTTGAATGAGAAGTCGTCGTCTTGTGTATTATCAACGATATTAGTGCCGATAGGAATACTTTTCATCGTGGAGTTATCAATCCATTCTTCTCCATGAAGTTCATCGGGCGGCAATCCTCTAATACGATATACTCATTGTTAGTATAACATCCATCAATATATTGGTTGTCTCCTTCATCACGATCTATCAAACACGTCATGCTATTAACTTGTAAGCCATCCTCTTCATCATCATCCTCGGATTCGACACTTGCATTATCATATTTGATGGGCCGTATTAGTATCGAAGGTATTTGAAGTGCCCATATACGAAGGACCGCTCAAGTATTGTGACTGTGTCCAGCCTTCATCTTGTTGCGGAGATAAAAAGTCGACAGAATCAACTTTAAAGTCCTCCAATATGCGGGAGTATATTCCGTCGTGATTCACCGTTGTGCCCAAATTTCTCTGATGTTTTTCAATAAATAATTCCACCGAACGCTTCTCGTCATGTAGTACTACAATGAGACTCATATCATAGTCACTTGAGATTTGAATGCCGCTTGTTTTGTTCTCCATAATAGGATAATTACAAATAACATTGAGGTGATACTCACGTGAGTTGGTTAATGTAAGTTTGTGTAAGTCATTAATCAATTCGTCGAAAGTACACGATTTTGATATAAACAACGGCTTCGTCACATCTCCTTCATAAATAGGCATATTATTTTCGAGATAGTTAATCTTCCCATCATATGAATAAAAAATTACGATTCAATCGTTCATCGTTACCTCTGAAGAGTAAAAAATTCAATATCAATATTACGCAAAAAAAACTTTAAAAAATGTTACTTACCATTAAATCTCATATATCGATTTTAGAAACCCATAATTTTAACCAAATGTCAAACCTTTGTAGTAACACTAACTTTTACATTTTTTGATAATTTCCCGTCTAAATACACAAAAGTATTTAATTTTTCTTCAAAAAATTCATAAATAGTTCAAAAAATTATTTCAAAATCTATTTTTTCACCAGTGATCACCATGAAATAGTGAGAATATATAAAAAATTAGGAGAATTTTTTTTTAAAGATTTTACCTTAAAATTGTCGATGCCCTAATTTCTGGTGAACTCTGACGATGATGGCGGCGAGATCGATCAACACCGATGAAGAAGATCAACGTCGACCG